CCGAAGGCAAATGCAGAGTTTGAAAATATTATTTATAAAATTCATAAGTGGAAAGCCATAAGTGGCCTGGATTTATGGGTTGGATAATTGAGCCAAAGACAAAGCCAAAGGCAAATGCAGAGATTGAAAATATTGTTTATAAAAGCCATAAGTGGCCTGTATTTACGGGTTGGATAACTTACATACATAGCAGCGGACAACGGTTGAAGCGAAAACGAGAATTTTACCGCTGACTATATTTGCATGAACGCCAAATTATTTATGCACGTAAATATGTACTATATGGACATATATTTGCATATAAATAAATGTTTGTCTGCACCAAATTTAATAATTTTGTTTGTCGAAAAACTAACGAGGGGTAAAGGAGGGCGACAGTGATGTGGATATATGTATTATGATGTTTATTTATTTTACACACAGGTAGTTTGTTAATTAATTTAATCAAACTATTCAAATTGTTAGCTCTACTAATTTCAAGTACGTATGCGCCACGAATTGAAAGGAGGGTGCAATATTTCAGCACAAGACGTAGATTTAATTCGTCTTTTCTCAACTTTAAATTTTTTGCACAAATACCTGCGGTTCTGCCTGAGGATCCTTTAATCCCGCTGCATCTTTCCTCGTGCAGTCAATGAAGGTACCGGACATGGAGCTCGCTGGGGATCCTGGTGGCGATAATCATTGGATTTCCTGGGCTTTATTATGCAACTTGAGGGGGGTCAACGCGGCTGGGCGAGCGACAGCTGAGAAGGAGTGGGGGCCGGTACCCTGCGTAACAACAGCTAGCTATGGGATGGGGACATAGCAAGATCCGGGATTGAGAGGGCACGGGAGGGAACCCGGCAACGGAGGTGTTGGACACGAACAGTAATTTTAAGATGGAAGCGTTGAGTTGAAGGACCTAGTTTGGAGAGTCCGACAATCAAGTGTTAGAGTGTTCCTAGAAAGAGCTGGAGGACTGCCTTTGGAGAGTCAGACAGTCCAGAGACAGTAAAGTGCGAGAATATAAGCGAGTCAAAAAAGAGCCATGCAGGACGGTTCATCGTAAAAGAGTCGAGTCCTAACCGCGACGAATAGGCGTGATCCTACAAAGGTCACTGGTGTAACGAAGGCGGGACGCCTAGTCCCTGACCCTTCATGGATCCGGCAGCGCGTTTGCGCGTTGGTGTGTGGTGCCTACTGGTGAACGCAACTGTGTGTGCTTCCTGAAAGATAGTGAGCCGCTTCGGGCCGTCGTATATTAATGGCCAACCCGGATCAGGTGCCGGCCATCGAAAAGGCTAAACCAGTAAGCCAATAGCTAAACTAATCAGACCGAGCGGCTACAAAAACAGGAGCAACATAAATTCAACAACAACATGAATTCGATGGAACGTTCCCACAAACCTCTTTGAGCTATCCGCCGCAATTGTTGCAAGCGAGCACAAAAAACAGTTCGTTAAAAAAGGCTACATGATAGGATGCTTTGCGGCTTATTTAGGAGTCCTTTATGCCATTATGTCAAACGTCTTTTGCAGTATCCATTTTTAAGGTAATGATTATTTTCTCCTTTCAAAGTTGTCTGAGTTAATAAACTACGTAATACGTATGTTAACTACTTCTTGATAGTTGAGTTTATCCAACCTGTCTACCCAAAAATGGATCTGGGCGATTGGCATGCCCTCTCCGCAGTCATAAGAACCGACTGGAGAACCGTGGGAAAGACGCCGGCTATCAGGACAGCTGAGATGGTTGTGGGATTGCAGTATGGCTCGTCGCTAGCTGGATTTGCGCGAATTCGGATGGCATATTGTCCCGAATCGCTCGAATAGGAGTGCGGATACGCTCGTTGGGATCCACTTTGTGCGTCCAGACTGTACTTGTCTGTCACGGTGCTGATTCTTTCGCTGCCGACGTTATTTGTCGGTAGCTTCAGGACTAGCAACGAACCAATGCAGCTTATTGGAGAGCAATGAACGACGGGAGCCAAGCTTGGTCAAGGGGTGGGAACCAGCTTCACGACGAGACCACGGGACCTGGCTCTGGTATTTTTAGACAACTCAATAAAAAGAACAAACAAGACATATGTTTTCTATTTTGGTTTTCCTTTAAGAGGTTACACAACGATAGAATTTTAAAATTTTCGAAAAAAATATTGGCCTATAGGATACCTTGATATTATATAAATAACCTGTCAAACTCCTAGCCAATCTCCAACTGACCTTATTTCAATAAATACCGCCGCTTGTTCTACTGCTCTATTCAAGCGCGCTTTGGAGTACCGCCCCGCGCTAAAACTGTTATCGCGTTTTTCTCGACACTTCATTTTTGAAGTTGGCTGGTAAGACTTTTCAGAGTTTTTATCCAATTGGTTTCAAATTTGTTTTGCAGATTCAACAATACAATCTCAATGGAAGAACGAAGGGTTTTTTTTAATTGAAAATTGAAAATTACAATAAATTTGTATAAACTAATGTTACAGTCTTTTTTATTCTTTTTTGTTTTCTAATTTTTTTTTCAAAAACATATCTGTTGGGTCAGGCAGCAAGGAACTGTTTTTTTTTTTTTAGGCTTAGGGCCTCTACAAGGGCTTTCCACCTAACTTTATTTGCCGCTGTTTGCTTTATTGTGTCCCAGCTGATGTTCTTCCGGGATATTTCTAGCAGAGCTGTACGGGCGACCCACTCTTCTGTTTCCTTGTGGGTTCCATTCCAGAGCCATTCTTACTATGCTTCCTGGTTCCTTCCTTCCGCCGTGGCCAATCCATTTCCATTTTCGTTTCTTTATTTGCTCATGGATTGGGACCTCTCCTGTGCAGTGCCATAAGTCCTCATTGGATATTTTGTCTGGCCAGAATACCCCAAGTATTATTCTTAGGCACTTATTGATGTAAGCCTGCAGCTTCATAAATATCCTTTGAGTGGTTAGCCACGTCTCCAATCCGTATAGCAGTATGGATTTTACACACGAGTTGAATATGCGCAGCTTTGTTTTTCTGTTTATCTGCTGGTTTCTCCATACTCGGTTTAGTCTTCCGAATGCAGACCTCGCTTTGCGCAGTCGGTTCTCCACATCACTTTCCACTCCACCATTTGATGTGAAGCTGTCGACGAAGTCGATGGTATTATCTCTGATTGTGATGTTGTTTGTGTTGGAGTTGTTGATCCGCATCGCTTTCGTTTTTGATGCGTTGATCTTTAAGCTTACTGCGCTGGCTCGGATCTCGAGGTCCCTAGCTTTGGCTTGAATGTCTTCGAATTTGTGAGCCAAGAGACATATGTCATCCGCGTAATCCAAGTCTTCTAAATGTCGGGTGAAGTTCCAGGTGATTCCGCGTCTGTTCATGCATACTTCTCCCATAATTTCTTCGACTACCAAGTTGAACAGAAGTGGTGATAGAGGACGCCTGTGTTCGTCTGGAAGGGTGCACTAATTTTCCCGTTGTGCAGTACCGCCAGCTCAGCATCATCATACATAGCTTTCACTATGTTTATGATTTTCACTGGCACTCCCTTTCTTGCAAGTGACCTCCATATCGCTGCTCTGTCTACCGAATCGAATGCCTTCTGGAAATCTATGAACAGGAGGTACAGCGGCGAGCGCCATTCCACAGTTTGCTCGGTTATTGCGCGTAGTGTGTTTGCCTGGTCTACGCAGCTCCTGTGTGGTCTGAATCCTCCTTGTTCATCTCGTAGTGTTGGCTCGATCTTTTCCTGAAGACGTTCGTTCAGTAGAGTGGCTAGTACCTTGTAACTTGTGTTCAACAGGGTAATGCCTCGCCAGTTGTTGCGGTCACTGAGGTCTCCTTTCTTCGGTAGCTTGATGATGATTCCTTTTTTCCAGGATGTTGGGATCCGCTCACTTTCCCATATATTATTGAAATGTGGATGCAGTGTTTCGGCCATTAGTTGCGTGTTAATCTGGAGAAGTTCGGCCGGTATGCCGTCATCTCCAGCCGCTTTGTTGCATTTTAATTTCATGATTGTATCCTTTATTTCTCTAATTGATGGTGCCGTGGGTGATTTTCTGAGGTTATTGCTCGGTACAATACTCCTGAAGTTATCTTGCGTGCTGCTCGGTTGTTCTGTGCAGCTGATCTCCATAAAGTGCTGTCGCCATCTCTGGAGTTGTGCCTCATCATCAGTAAGGAGTCTTCCATCTGGGTCCCGCACTGGTTGGGTTCGCCTATGGCAGCTTCCGGTCAGTTGACTAATTATCTGGTACAGTGAGCGCATGTTGTTCGTGTTGGCTGTTCTTTCTGCATTTTCAGCGAGCCTGTCCAGAATTTTTCTTTTGTCGTTTCTTGCTGATTTCTTCACCATTTTGCACAGCTCTTTGTGTTCGTCGCGAGCTCTGCAGTCATGATCTGCTTTCGACTTTAGGCTGTTCCGTTTGCTGATATGTTCCCAAGTGTGCGCTGATATCCAATCTGTGCGCCTGCGTTGTTGGGTGCCAAGCATCTCCTCCGCGGTGCTCCTCAGTATACTGCATGTTTGTTCCCATGAGTGATTCAACGGTTGTGCTGTCATCTGTTCACGCAACGTTGTGGCCATTCTGGTGGATAGGTTGGAGTCACTCAGCCGTTGTACGTTAATGGGAGGCGGTCTTCTTGTGGTCCTGTTGACAGTGTTGCTATTTCGTCTGAGCTTGATTAAAAGCTCTCCGATTATCAGCTCGTGGTCACTGTCGATAGACGCACTTCTACTATTCCTAACATCCATTATCGAACGTCTCCATTTCCTACTTATGCAGATGTGGTCGATTTGGTTGCGAGTATGTCCAATCGGAGAGGTCCATGTGTATTTATGGATTTCCTTGTGGGGGAATATGATACAGTGCCACCGATAACCAGTTGGAAGGTCTAACATAAGTCGATTAGCCTGTCACCATTATTGCTGCGTGTGCCAACACCATGTCGGCCCATGATTGTTTCCAATCCTTTGTTGTTGGGGGCGATTTTCGCATTGAAGTCAGTCTCCCATGAGAATTTTTATGTCACCTCTTTCGATCCTAGTGAGTTAGGATGTGAGGGCGTTGTAGAAGTCGTCTTTGATGTCATCGCTGGCGTCTTCTGTTGGGGCATAGCACTGCACGATGGTGATGTGTCTAGCATGGCATCGGAATCTGGCAATGATGATTCTGTCGGATACTGGGGTCCAGGAAATTAGTGTCTGTTTGTACTGTTTGGACACATATATCCCGACTCCGCTCCTGCCTCCATCATTGGTCCCGCTGTGCATCATTAGATTGCCGCTTGATGTTGTTGTTGTCCCGTTACCTCTCCATCTCATCTCACTGATGCCTGCGATTGCGATCTGCATTTTTTCCATTTCTCCTTCAAACTGCGCCAGTCTGGTTGGTTCCATTAAAGTCCTCACGTTCCATAGTCCAATTCGTGTCCGTTTTGATATGCGAATGGTCGTCAACGGGTTGGGAGGGTGGTTGGTTTCTTCTCTTCTTGAATTAGTTTCGTTAATCAGTTGTTTTTCAGTTGATCCGGTGATTAGCCAGGTGCAACCTATCCCAGAGGTGGGGCTGCCACCTGTCGATATCTGGGAATACCGTTTTTCGACCTCACATGTTTAGTAGCATCGGAAAAGAGTCCCTCGAAAGGAAGCTTTATCGCCGTCCTCAATTGAAGAGGAATATGCTGCCTTCATAAAGGAGTAACTGGAGTTGGGTCATATGTCTCCAGTCCCTGCTGATGCGAGCGTCATTAGCCAGTACTTTCTGCCCCACCATTGTGTTTTAAAGGAGGATAGTTAAACAAACAAGGTCATGGTTGTTTATGATGGATGTGCTGTCACCACTTCTGGATATTCATTGAATGACGTGTTAATGTCTGTCTCAGTTATTCTTCCAAAGTTGCTGCATATTCTGTTAAGGTTCCGATGCCATCGGGTGGCCATTAATGGAGATATTTGCGAAATGTATCGTTGCGTCAGGGTTTTCCCTGAGGACAGGTATATTCAGTGCATTCTTTGGCGGGACTCCACCCAGGATGAGTTGCAGGTTTTTAAGTTGGGTTCACCCATGAAACCACCTGTCCGTGCTACATCTGGCGTCCCTCAAGGAAGTCATTTGGCCCCTTATTATTTACTCTTTTTATTAATGACTTGCCCCCTGCTTTAACGAACTCTCTAGTTCTTATGTATGCAGATAATGTAAAGCTTTGCCTTCAATAAAAATCCATCTCTGCCCAATGCAGTCTTCAGTTCGATATTGAAAACTTTCAAAAATGGTGTTTAGCAAATGATTTAATACTTAATGGATCAAAATGCAAGCTTAAGTCTTTTTATCGTTCTTGCCCTCTGCAAGCTACGTATACTATGTATGGGATTGCCTTAGAGAAATTAACTCAGGTTAATGATCTCCGCGACTCATTAGACACCAAACTTAAATTTGCCGACCATATTTCCACAATGGTTAATAAGGCTTAATGAGTCCTTGGTTTCATAAAAAGGTGGTCAAAAGAATTTATCGACCTCTTATCGACTTCCAAAAGCTTATTAATTTTTTTGGTCTGGAGTACGGTTTATGTGACTGGAGTTCCCAATAGGAGTACATCAGGACCTCATTTTTCACTTAGGAGGTAAATTGGGATGTAAATCTTCATCTTCAATCTTATAGTAGCAGACTCCTACTAATAAACTTACCAAGCTTAACCAATCGGACAATGCTCAGTGTACCTGATCTACATCGTTAATAGCTAAATTATTGCAAATAATATTTAAAAATTTTCTACTATTACAAAGGTAGGCTGATAAAAAGTCGGCCTTACAAAAAAATTACATTTATTTCACATTATCTCCTTTTAGACGTATGGACTTGGACCACCGGTCCTCCAGTTTCCTCCATACCTTCCATAAAATATGATTTGTCCAGGTCCTCAAAATAGTCGTTTGTTCTACAGATTACCCGTTCATTTGCTGAAATTTCTTACCCCCCGGCCATTTTTTTAAGTTTTTTTTTTTTTTTTTTTTTTTTGTAATAGCAGGGTAATGTTTATTTAAAACTGTCCATTAGGGACAACCATTAAATGTTATCACGTAAACTTCACGTATAGATAATTTTAAATATTAATATGGTACAAATAAATTAGAGTAGTAAGTGGAGGTCCAGCGGGTGTGTCCTTTTTAGTCTTCTGGGCTGCTCGCTGTTGTCCAGCAGGGAGCTGGCCAACCGGTTCGGGTGATTATGAAGCCTCTGCATGTAACGTGCGCTGCTTCTTTGTATCTCGTCCTTGACCCAAGGAAAATTTAGAACCTCGTGGATGGTGCGATTGTCATGATAGACGTGGGCCCCAGTGGTGATTCGAAGGGCTATATTTTCGAAAGCTTGCATAGTTCGGACATTCGTCTTGCTCGCAGTGCCCCAGAGCTGTATGCCGTACGTCCAGATAGGGCGTATTATTGCCTTGTAAATGAGGAGTTTCGTGGAAGTTCTCAGCTTCGATCTCCTACCCATAAGCCAGTAGAAGGATCGAAGTCTTTGATTAGCCTGTTTCCTCTTCTTAATCAGATGGGGCTTCCAGGTGAGCCTCCTGTCTAGGGTGAATCCCAGGTACCTGGGATTGTCTACCTGTGGGATTGGAGAGCCGTTAAGGTTAACTGGAGGGCAGTTGCCTTTGCAGAGAGAAAATGTGGAGGCAGTGGACTTCTCATTATTGACGGCAATGTTCCATCGCTTTTGCCAGTCGCTGAGCAAGTCAAGCTGCAATTGCATCGTTTCGTCTGCCCCCAATGCGCTATCGGCGGTGGTAAGGAAGGCGGTGTCGTCTGCATAGGTTGCTGCGAGCAGGTCAGGCCTCTGAAGAACAGGGAGGTCGGCCGTGTAAGCATTGTACATCAACGGGCCAAGAACGCTGCCTTGGGGTACACCAGCGTGAGCTTCTCTAATACCGGAGATGGCCTCGCCACATCTAACAGCAAATTTACGGTCTTCCAAGAACGACTTTAGGAACTGGAAGTATGGTCGGGGTAGGCCAGTCTTTAATTTATATAGAAGACCGGGATGCCAGACTCGGTCAAACGCCTGCTTCACGTCCAGCATGACGGCCATGCAGTACTTCTTGGTTTCAAACGCGTCCAGGATGCACTGCACTACCCGATGGCACTGCTCTGGCGTACCGTGTCGCCGCCTGAAGCCAAACTGGTGGTCAGGGATCAGTCCAGCTTCGTCAAATACTGGCAGTGCTCTGCTTAAAAACACTCGTTCAAGTATTTTGGAGAGCATTGGTAACAAACTTATTGGTCGGTAGGACGAAAGGTTTGCTTCGGGTTTCCCGGGCTTAGGTATCATAGTTACCTGGGCACGTTTCCATGTGGACGGGAAGTACCCTATCCCCAAGCATTTATTATAGATCCTCGTAATTAGCTGAATGCTTGGAGGTGGTAACATTTTTAATGCAATTGCATTGATACCATCATCGCCCGGGGCCTTGTTGTTGCTCATGATGGTTATGAGCTCAGCTGTTTCCTCCTCAGTCACTGGTGGTATTAGATCGGCGTCCCTGGAAGGCTCGGCTAGCAGTCGGGCAGTTTCAGCAGCATCCTCCGGTGAGCAGCGATCGAAAGGCGTAAAGACACCTTCGAGGTGTTCGGCGAAAGCGTTGGCCCTGTCCATCTCCGATCTGCACCAGCTGCCGTCGGTTCTTTGTACAGGTGGGATCCTTTTCAGCGGCTGTCTGATAGATTTGGTGACTCGCCATAAGTTATGTTGAGGGTCACCTGGCTCAAGTTGTTCGACGAACCCGTCAAAGGCCTGCTTCCTTAGTCTTGCCAGAGTTTCTGTCAGACATTTGGTCGCTCTATTGAAGGCGGTTTTGTCCAAAGGATTCCTCGAGAGCATCCACACTCTTCGGAGTCGTCGCTTTTCAAGTTTGAGTTCTTCGACTTCTGGGCTCCAAAAATGGATGTCCCTGTCAGTGGCTCTTGGGCGGTTTGAGGGCCTTGGTGCTGCTTCAGAAGCTGCCGCCTGAATATGGGCTGTTAACTCTTCTACAACGGTGTCGATGTCAACCGGGGAGTCAAGTGTCGGGCTGGGGTCGGTAACGTTGTTCAGGTAAGATTGGTACTTGTCAACGTCTGTTGTCTTGTAGATCCGCTTTTTGCGGGCTGACAGTGGGGTGAAAAGTGACACGGCAAAGGCGCTGTGGTCCGAGAAGAGGTCTTCTACTTCTCTCGCTTGAATTCCGGCAGAATCCAGTCCTCCGGAGATGGCGAAGTCTAGCACATCAGGGATTTTGTGGGGATCCGTAGGCCAGTATGTGGGTGCACCGGTTGCGTGACAGCTCAAGATTCGGGACTGAATCTGCCTGTATAGGGCCGAGCCCTTTGGGTTCGTAATCTTGGAGCCCCACCAGGGGTGTTTAGCATTAAAGTCCCCTCCGATTATGAACTTGGGGCCGAGGCAATTCAGTAGCAAGCCGAATTCCTGTGCGTGGATGTTGTGCCTGGGGGGGCAATATGCTGCGGCGATTGTTATGTCACCGTTGGTAGTGGAGATTTTAATTTGGGCACATTGCACCCAGTCTTCGCACATGGCTGGAAGTGCCTCATACTTTGGGCAGGGCAGTTGCCTTTGCAGAGAGAAAATGTGGAGGCAGTGGACTTCTCATTATTGACGGCAATGTTCCATCGCTTTTGCCAGTCGCTGAGCAAGTCAAGCTGCAATTGCATCGTTTCGGCTGCCCCCAATGCGCTATCGGCGGTGGTAAGGAAGGCGGTGTCGTCTGCATAGGTTGCTGCGAGCAGGTCAGGCCTCTGAAGAACAGGGAGGTCGGCCGTGTAAGCATTGTACATCAACGGGCCAAGAACGCTGCCTTGGGGTACACCAGCGTGAGCTTCTCTAATACCGGAGATGGCCTCGCCACATCTAACAGCAAATTTACGGTCTTCCAAGAACGACTTTAGGAACTGGAAGTATGGTCGGGGTAGGCCAGTCTTTCCCCGTTGGTAGTGGAGATTTTAATTTGGGCACATTGCACCCAGTCTTCGCACATGGCTGGAAGTGCCTCATACTTTGGGCAGGGCAGTTGCCTTTGCAGAGAGAAAATGTGGAGGCAGTGGACTTCTCATTATTGACGGCAATGTTCCATCGCTTTTGCCAGTCGCTGAGCAAGTCAAGCTGCAATTGCATCGTTTCGTCTGCCCCCAATGCGCTATCGGCGGTGGTAAGGAAGGCGGTGTCGTCTGCATAGGTTGCTGCGAGCAGGTCAGGCCTCTGAAGAACAGGGAGGTCGGCCGTGTAAGCATTGTACATCAACGGGCCAAGAACGCTGCCTTGGGGTACACCAGCGTGAGCTTCTCTAATACCGGAGATGGCCTCG